CGGCGGAAAACAGAGCACCTGAAGTGGTGGTCTAGGGCCAGGAATCGGCGGCGGCCGTTTATCCATCCACGCTGCCCGAAAGTCCTCGTTCAAATTTCTGACAATCCTTCCTTCTCCGCCATGCCAAACAGATCGGAACTAGGTGTAAAGCTTTTACTTCTTTCAAGAACTCCCCACAGACGGCACCAATTTGATGGGTCTCCTCCTAGATCTGGAGTGAACCTGGTGGAAATGAGCTCCGGTCTATTCGAAACGTCTCCAAGTCGTCCGTGAACCACTGCAAACACCTGCAAGAACTCAACATCGGAAGTGTTTTCCGGTGAAGAGCCTCCGACGCTCAAGTCAGTGAGAGAAGAAGATGAGCTATGCTCGGTAGGAGCAGCAGCTGAATAATGAATAGAGAGAATGAAAGTTAGGGTTTAGGGTTACCTCAGCTCCTTTATATAGGAGTAGAAACACTTACTTGAAGTACCTAAAATGCCCTGGCCGACTTACACGTAGTACCTAAAATTCCCCTGTCGGTTCGCATTCCGCTTACTCTTGAGTCAGCATCTAGATTCCTTCTTATCCTGTGTAAACTCGCACTTGGGGACCTTCCATGTGTCGCATCTACACATCAAGTTGTGGGAGGTCTTTATAAGTCGACTTGTAACCTTGCCGAGTCGATCTGAGGTTATACAAGTATTCGGGGGCTCCTAGAGTGCTGCTCGTCATCTTCAACGAAGTCGTCTTGTATCCGGTCGACTTTGTAAAGTCGACTAGAGACCGTGGCCGGTCCGATGGCTTTTGAATAGCCGATGGGCCAAGTCGACATCGTCGGTGTCGACTTAGTGGGGTCGTCTGCAGTCTTTAGTCGAGCAATCACTATCTGAGCCGGGCCATGACAATAGGGCTATATTAATGGTTTTGATAAGGAAGCGTGGTCGATAGGTCTATTATCTCCCGTTGACTTATTTACATGATCACAACACTGTTATTATGTTTTGTCACTACAGTTTCCGCTGACTTTTCACTGTTTGTCAAACTTAGCCCTTTTGACCAGTCAGCAAACTGTGAGTCCGTTTTCTTACAAACAGTCTGATTTGAAAATGAGTCATGTATTATGGTAGCACTCCGAATCAGTATTTCGCAAATTAAATGATTTTATTTTGAAAAACATTGCGAAAAACGCACTCTGATTTTCATTTCAAGTCGGAGTGTTACAGTTTGTCACTGTAACTGTGCAACCATGCATGCAGTATAGCCCCTATACTCATACTTACAACACATGATTCTAAGACACAAACGTAGCCCCACATGGCTCCGTTCGCTGGCAATACAAGTCCCCTATCTCGCAATCTCGAGAAATCCTACGCCCGATGACGACCCACTTATCTACATGCAAAACAACAGAACGTGGAACTTATTTAACCAAACATAATTCTCATTCATCAAGGAATAACAAGTGTAATATCCACTAAAGCAAAGCTTAAGTATATAACACCAACAGCCAAGCCGCGCGATAGAGTACCGACAAGTCAAAAAGGCTGGAAAATATTTTTGGGAGGTGCTCGTCGAATGGGAGGACTTGCCGAGTGAGGATGCGACATGGCAAAGTTGGGATGCGATGCGCGAACTGTTCCCCAATTTTTTGCTTGAGAACAAGGAAGCACTTGAAGGGGACGGGAATGATGCGGACACGGCGAGAAGACTCAAGAATGCAGCGAGTCGCGCGTGGCATGCGCGAAGGAGGTTAAGTCGCCGAGCCAGTGAGGTGCGATATGCGGACAGACGAGCGCGCACGGGAGACGACACGCGCGACACTATCGGGGACGGACGCGGGTTTGAACGCGCAGGCGACGAGGTGCACGCGCATACTTACCTAGGCGCACGAGGAATAGGCAACGCAGACGCGGGGCAAGGCAGTTTGGGGCGAAAGCAAGAAATAAGTTAAATAGCTTGATCAATATTTTATTTCCTTATTTTCTAGTTTGTTTAGGATAGTTTATATTTTATTGCTTTCCTAGAGTAAGTATTCTAGTCTAAGTAGATTAGGACTAGATCTTTATTTTGAGCCTTATAAATAGGCGTGCCTTGTTCTCAATTAGGCATATTGATTCTTCTTAATACAAAAACCGAACTTTGTTCAAACTCTTTGCTCTAGTTTTCTTCTTGAATTCTTTTGCAACTATAATCGTTAGAAAGGCTGTGAGTGTGCGACTTCCTAACACCTATCGAACGATTTAAGGCGCGGGAGCGGCTTGTCGGCAATCGAGACACACGGTCTTCATCATTGGTGCTTTCATTGACAGGGTAGATCGTGTGTCTTTCCCTTCCCATTCTCTTTTAATTTTTCTTTCGTAATTTTCATTCGTTCAAAAAAAAAAAATCAAAATTAGTCCGGGAAGTCGAGAACGTAGGCAAGCCAGAAAAGATATGGCCAATCGTGAGTTGAAAGAAAGGTTGAAGGATTGGAAGGCCAATTCAAGGCCATGAGCGAGAGCGTGGAGGATCGGTTTGGATCGCTCGACGAAGGTCAGGTCAGCACCAACGCTGTCGTGGCTCGCCTCGAGCAGCGCCTGGAGGAGGTGTTGCGCGGGTTCCAGCGATAGCAGCAACAGGATCCACTACGGGTGAACGCACGCGAGCGTCTAAGGCAACAGGAGCAGCAGCGGGTTGAGCACAACCTTGAGTAGGAGGAAGAATACGAACAGCGGTCGCAGGCATCGAACGTACATGAGCGAGCTCGCGTCGAGAAGCCAAGGATCGCGCTCTCGACGTTCACGGGAACCAACCCCAACGCTTGGCTGAACAGGGCGGTGCAATTCTTCGATTTAAATGAGATGCCGCAACGTGACTGGGTTTGTTATGCCGCGTACTATTTAGATGGTGAGGCCAACGTGTGGTGGCAGTGGCTCACGCGTGTGTATCGCGGGCGGCAACAACCAATCCGTTGGGAAGATTTTGAACGAGAGCTCCTTACGCGTTTTGGAAACTCAGACTATCATAACCACGACGAGGCGCTAACTCGGATCCGGCAGACGGGAAGTGTACGTGACTACCAAAAAGAGTTCGAGAGATTGGCGTGCCGGGTTCGCGGGTGGCCGGAGAGCGTGCTTGTTGGCGCGTTTGTTGGAGGGCTTAGGTATGATCTCGCGGCTAAAGTGCGATTGGAGAGGCCGGAGACCATGCATAAGGCCATGGAAGTTGCTAGAAGACGGGAGGATCACTTGGCCGTGACTCGAAGGGGACGGGCAGATTTTCGTGTCCCGGAGCCGCGGCGTGTGCCGACGACCGTGGGCGCATCTAGTGCGAACGCGAGGCCGCCGGGCACCTTTAGGCCACCGGCAACCGAGGTGAAGAGGTTGACGGAGGAGGAGATGGCGCGGAGACGTGAGAAAGTATTGTGTTTCCGGTGCGAGGAAAATACACGCCGGGACGTCAGTGCAAGCAGAATTACTTGATCGAGTTCGTGGACTCAGATGACGAAGAGCCAGTGATCGAGGAAGAAAGGGTGGTCGAGGTGCTCAATGACGAGGCCTAGATCTCAGTCCATGCGATGGCGGGCACTAAAGGCCCGAGGACTATGAAGTTACCGGCGTGGTTGAAGGATCGGCGGGTTACGGTACTCGTGGACAATGGGTCGTCGCACAATTTCATTAATGCGACTCTCTCGCACAAACTCAAGTTGCCCACGACCACGATTAAGCCGTTCGAGGTTAGGGTGGCGAATGGCGAGCGTTTGCGATGCTCGGAGATGTACCGGGACGTACCGATCAAGTTTCAAGGAGTGACGGTGAAGGCAGATTTGTTTGCCTTACCTTTGGTGGGACCGGATGTGGTGCTTGGGGTGCAGTGGCTCGAGGGACTAGGAGATGTGACGACTAATTACTGGAAAGGTGTGATGAAGTTCGAGGTCGGTGATCAGTTCGTTACCTTGAAGGCTAGTGAGGGAGCAACCAAGGAGGTTGGTCTGAAAAACATCGAGAAGGTGTGGCGAGGTGGCGGACAGTTGTACGCTGTCGTGGTCGAGCAGACGGGCGAGGAGTTCAACCAGGTGGTCGAGGGGAGGCAGCGCAAGGTGCAAGACTTGCTCGAGGAGTTCGACCAGGTCCTCGACGAGCCCAAAGGATTGCCGCCGCACCGGGAGTTCGACCACCACATACCTCTGGTCGAGGAGGGTCGAGCAGTGCACGTGCATCCCTATAGGTACGCACACTTTCAGAAGGCAGAGATCGAGCGGCAGGTGGGCGAGATGCTCGAGTCCGGACTAATCCAGCATAGCACGAGCCCGTTCTCATCACCGGTGTTGCTCGCAAAGAAGAAGGACGGAACTTGGTGGTTCTGCATGGACTACCGCGCTCTCAATGCGGCTACTGTGAAGGATCGCTTTCCCATTCCGAGCGTCGACGACATGCTGGACGAGTTGGGTGGCGCGCGTTACTTCTCTAAGCTCGACCTCAATGGCGGACAGACGGGGCAGGCGTGATCGCTGGGAACTTAATGGCGGACAGACGGGCGTCGCTGGACGTCGTGCGTTGGGCTCGGCGATGCGCGACTTCTCGCGGTGACGTACGATTGCGCTGGGCTGAGCACGACTGACTTCCGGCGGCGGTTGGCGACGGTGGTACACGACGGCGATGGGCGGCGATCCGATGGATATGATGACCGAATATATATATATATAATAGAAAGCTCAATCAATTGTACCAAAAAGCCTTCTAATGGATTACCTAAACACCTATTCCGATTAAACTTGGTGGAGCGTTTAATCGGATCTCCCTAACTCTCGAACAATGCAATTCTCACGTGTATGTAGATGAGAAAAATCGGCCAAGACAACCCTTGTAGGAGAGTATGGGACATGGTGTATTTATAGGCTCCATTAGGGACCTTAAGGAGGTGCTAAATATGGGCTTATTCCATTAGGCCTAGGAATCCTAATTCTAATCTAATACTAACTCAATCTATGAAGGAGATCTCCAACTAACCCCTCTCTTCTAGAAGACTCCTAAGTCTCCTAACACTAGAGAAGATCCTTGTAGGAATTTCCTTTCCTAATTAAACTAATAATCATGGAATAGAATTAAATCCTAATTTAGGAAACCTAATTTTACTCTAATTAATAATATAATGTAGGAAATATATTTCCCACTAATCTTCATCTTCTAGAAGACTCCCAAGTCTCCTAATCCCAAGAGAAGATTCTAGTACGAATTTTATTCTCTTAATTAATTAATTAATATGGAATAAATATAACATCCCACTAGCTTACTAAAATCAGAGTGCGATTTTCGCAAATCCTTTTCTAAAGTTTACGTTTTATTTTGCAAAACATATATTGGGATGCTACATAAAACATTTCTTTTCTAGAAGTCCATTAACTATAAATCCATTTATGAAAAACGGATTATCATTATAAAACAAGCGTGTGATACTATATAAAACTAGGCCCGAAAGCTCGGATCGTCGTCTGAAAATTTACACGCTAGTTTGAAAGTCTGAAAACGTCAGCGGAAGTAAAACGTGGCAAATATATACATATCAACAGTCTGCAAAAAT